CACGACCCTGTTATCACGCCCTGCTATCACGCCTTGCTATCACGCCCTGTTATCACGCCCTGCTATCACGCCCTGCTATCACGACCCTGTTATCGCGCCCTGCTATCACGCCCTGTTATCACGCCTTGATATCACGCCCTGTTATCACAATCCTGTTATCACGATCCTGTGATAACAGGGCGTGATAACAGGGCTACATACGGCCAAAACATACTACTTTTAACCATTATAAATGTCTGGCATATGAACTATCACCTTAACAGCGAATGTACATCGTGTGTACAATCAAACGACAAAGGTTTATAAAATTGTGTCACTCACAATATTTATCGTAAGACAATAAAACCATAAAAGACACGACAAATGTACTTATTTTACTGTTAATCCGTTATTTTGACTTCAGCGCCAACAGTCGTTCTATTCCACACGTATTTCATTGAATTTCAACCAACTTAAAAATTATTATGCATTTTAAGACTGCTGTTATTCTCTGTGCCGTGTGTTTCATTGTATCAGTATGGGTAATATACTTATTTCTTTAAATTGAATATAGTTATATATTATATACTTATGCAAGGTGACATAATACAGCTCTGTATAATAAGTACATAAGCGTTAAAACTTTATGATCTAACGGGCAACATATATATATATATATAATATATATATATATATATACATTTTGGATTAAATATTTAATTAAACAAAAATTTTCAAAAAATCTTGACTGATCGATAACCGGTCTTAAACAATTACTATTTAAGTGTTTAAAATTTAGGACGGTAAGAAGGATGGATTGGATTATTAGTTTTAAAAATTAATCTACGCGGTTTACTCTACTGCACTCCCCCTCCCATCACCAGTCATCCTCACTTTCAAATGAATATAACATTTGAAGGGATGAATAAAAATACAAATTTTTTCACCAATTCTTTTTAAAAAATTATTTTGAATAAAATGGCTATGTTGAAAAAAAATAAAAAAACTATTAAATAAAGTAAAACAGGTAAGTGCAATAAAAACCACGGTGCTTATAGCGCACATGAATATAAATTATTTAAAAAATAAAAATCTCAAAAATATTCAACAAAATAGAACAAAAGTTATTTCATTTGTCAAATCTTTGTGGGCCAATCTGTATAATATATAGATTATTGTAATATAATATTTCCCAGAAAATGAGTGACTTACGGTAAAGGGATCATTCGGTACTCAGTTTTGAGCTGTAAGTCATTGCACTTTATTTCAGAGCACGGGACTAAATATGGACCAAATACAAAAATGTATTCATATGTATGGTTATCCCAATCCTGACACTCGGAGAATCCCAGAAGTTATGAAAGACGATTTTGGAGTTAAAACACCAGAAAGATATTATAAACGCCACTCAAGTAACATATTATTTAAATAGCGATTTATTAGTTACATCTATTGACAATTAACGTTGTGTTATTGCTTTAATATACCAATAGATAAAATTCATAATTTGTATTAGTTTTACTTAACCAATCAAGTTCTTATTACTAACATTATATTAAATTGTAATGTACTTTGTAAGTTAGAAATTAAACATATTTAGTACTCAATTAAGTACCTACTGTCATCGGTCTAAATAATTACATTTGTGAAGCATAAATCATTGAATTGAATGTATATATCTTAAACTTGTCTTAATCACGTTGGGTTCTATTACTGGATAGCCTCCCTCCTCATATCAAATCACCGTTTCTATTTGTTTATTTTTTTCCCCCTCTCTCTGTATATATAACAATGTAACTATTTGCTTATTATGCCTTGCAGCATAGATTGTAAATACTCTTAATAAATAAAAAAAAAAAAAAAAAAAACTTGTCTAGCTTTGTTGACTCCTGTTATGTTTAATTTTCAAAACTGATTGCATACTATTTATTTTATTTAGAATACGATAATTTAACTTTTAAGAGCGCATTTTCGGCGTTAGCGTATGAAGATAAAACATCAGACAGCATCGGGGTATTTGATTTAAAATAACTAGTTTTTATTACTAATTTAACCTAAAACATATGAAATATTAACAAATATCAAAATATTGTAAGAAAATGATTGCAAAATATTCGTGTATGTTTAACACTGTACTTAGGTTCCAATGCTGACGACTTTTGAAGTAGAGTATTACCTCAATAAGTTCGTTGAATACCTTGAACATTATGGGCAAATGAGATACCTTATAAATGAACAACTATCACCTTTATTTGGAGAATTACACCTTACAGAAGATGAAAAGGCAAAGGTTGAAAATTCATCGCGAAAAAGAAAAGGTTACGTTAGATTTAGGGTGAGGAAGCGGTTTACTTCAAGTTCACAGTCTTAATTTTATTATTTTAGGTATAATTCACTCAGCGGCATTCTTGTCAATCATGTTAGAAATTCTACCAGAAGTAAGTAAATATTTGTGCAAGAAAAAATAGATTATCTTGAGGCATTAAATATTAATTGTATATAAATTGGTTTACCCAAATAGGACTTTTAAATTGAGGATTTTGAAAAAAAAAACAAGATTCTACTATTTGTAATTTTTCAAAATTGGCCATATAATTTTTGTTGATAAAAAAATGTTTCAAAAGCAAAGTTTAAAGATTTATTACAAATCATTGGTTATGAAATCGTTATAAATTATAAAAATGCTTAAAATGTAAAAATACTTCGACATTTGTGTACAGTTAGCTTATATTTATCATTTTTGGTTTTATTATAGGGTAATGGTCTAAATGAAGCACAAATAGAAGAGTTCATTGAATTGTTTGCATATCAAGATATGGCTATTGAGCCGCTTGAAGAGTCAATGCTATTTAAATCTGACCGTAAAATAAATTTATAAATATATTCACGTATAAATAGGTACATTCTAATTTGTATATTTAATATTTTATTAAAACTTAAACAGGACACTTTGCTAAAGTGTTGATGGAATTGATGATCGTTACGGCAGAACGTTCTAGAACAGTTAACGAAATCGTAATATAGTTTATTTTTTTTCAATTTAAAATTTCTTTGTGGTTACTTCCCAATTATTTAATTTTTCGTTACGATGTACTTGATTTTACTTTGATGACTTTTTAGAATGAGATAGTGTTAAGTACAAAAGAGGTCAGATCACTGTTATCTGAATTCACAGAACGTGACTGGGACCAAGACAGTAAACTCTCCAATAGCGAAGCGAACCAGTTTATGAATGAATTTACCGCTGAAAATCCGCAAGTTCTACCATTTAATTTTAATTGTAATTTGACAAGTTTATACATTAACGAGTTAACTCTGATTCTTGGCTTAAAAATTTGCTATTTTGCTTTTCAGATAATGAAATAAACGCTGCGAAATTCTTATTCTTCCACATACGTGCAAAAAAAGTTAAAAATAATATTTGAAATATTAAAATTTTGTTAATTAATTATAATATTTAAAATATTAAAAATTTATTTATTAATTATAACATTTAAACTATTGCACTTTAATGTCTTTAATATACAAAAATATTTTTGTTTTTTTTTTTATCTCGGGTTATGTTATATAAATAATAGTTAATATATTTATTAATTGATTCAGTATATATATTGTTTTTAAGTAAATAAATAACCTATTATAATTCGTATAACACTATTTTTTCCGTAGTCAAAATTGTAAAAAAAAATGCAAAATTAGTTTTTTCATATAATGTCAAAATTACATTTAAAAATTAATATTACTGGAGCTATTTAGCTATTTTAATATTTGAAAAAATATTGTTTAAGGATATTCTTAAAAAGAACACTTAACTTACAATTGTTCAGTGAAAGTTACATTTCGATATCTTAATTAGTCATTGTGTAACGCGGTCGTATTTTAGGTGTTTTTACGACAAATTTATAAGATATAGCCTAAGTCCAAACAATTTTTTAAAAAAGTGTTTTCTGTATTTTTTTCGTTTTTATGGAATTATTTGTAAAGAATATATAGGTTTTATGTATTCCGATTACTATAAAAAAAATACCTGGTACTTAAACATATTATTTTATTTTCTGCATTGTAATTAAATGATATATATATATATATATATATATATGTATAAAGTGTTATCCAATACAGTGATTGTACAGCGAATGGCATCTGTGTTATAAAATACTAGCAGAAAATCCGTTAATATTTAAATACTTTGTTTGGTTTTGATAAACGGATAATAGTTTGCCGATAACCACGGTGTGTGCTTTTTTAGGCTATGTCATTGTATAAAAATACTGTGTGCTAATATGGGCTACATAATTTCAGGTAATAAAAATAAAACTCTGCTCCTATTATGACTGCACTGTATAGAATATGTTTTAATCTTTCATTGGAATATTCCATGGTACTATAGGTATGTGTAGAAACCATCATTTTAAAATGGCAGCGTTGAACCTCAAGGACCCGATAAGTTGATGTACATCTTAGATGTTTAAGTTACAAGTATACATCTAATGTAGTGTTTGAGTATCGTCTAAATTATTCAAATTTTAACTATGTATTTACAAAACCAATGTTTGGCTATCTAACAAAATAGCGATGAGTGGAGATAAACTACAAGTTAATAGATACCTGTGTTAATAACTTGTATCGTATTGTACCCATAACATTAGATTTTAGGTAAAATTACTAAATAAATAAAGACACTTAAAATTTTTTATTCTTGTCGTTTTCCAAATATTTTAATATTATGTAAATAAGAAAAATGTTATTTTAATCCTATCGGTAATGATGTTATACAACCTTCAGTAAAAAATAATCTTAGTTGTTAGTTGAAATACACCCTTACTTAAATGTATGTGTAATTGAGTTTCATTTATTTATTCAACATTTATCTGTAGCCTAGAGGCTAGCCCTACCTATGACCATGGAGTAACTGAGTATGCAGCCATCAATGGGACAGTACTTTTTGAAATGTTTTTTTTCCATTTGATATCAATTATATAATTTCAAAAAAAAATTGTTCTTAAGTAAGTTGTATTACATAAAAAATCGAAACAAATATATTTGTATAATGCTTATAATTACTTATTTCATACATATGATACAAATAATTTCCTAAGGATATTGTCCTCCCCTTTCATCACCTCCTCACTCTTCTGTCTCTGCTTCTGCTCCTGTCCCTGTCAAGCCCATATCTTGGAGCTACAAATTGTTCTTTGACAGTTTCAACTTGCTCGCCAGAATAGTTAATCTCTGTTTGGCGACACTTGCAAATGCATGGTTTTTCGCTTGACACTTGCTGAATGATCAAAAAGATCACAACAGGTACTACAAAAATCTATAAAAGATATATAAAAAATTGAATAAACTAAAATATTAATTATATATATTTAAATATAAACCGTATATTTTACAACAAATATTCACATTAACGCGAATACGTTTTTTGACGACTGCATTTTCAGTCATAAATAAAACTAAATGTATATAATAATATAAATATTAATATGTATTTTGACATAATTGGAAACATTACGTACCCCTATTTTATGTTTTAATTTTTTTTTAACTTTTCATGAATAAGTTCATAATAGTTAAAAACGATAAATATTTTTTAATACATTATATGACATTTATATACTTTTAGTTAAAATAAACGCACATTACTCCATATATTATATACAGGATTAGTCTTTAACATTTCGGTATAATAAAAATATTTACTTGACAATACAACTAAGCAATTTATTTGTACAATAAATATTGTAGGCTAATATATTTTTCTATATGGACATACTGAATTCAAGATAGATTAGATAATTTCGTAGATCAATATTAATAAAATATTTTTTAAACGTTTGTGTTAACAAAAATAAAAAGATTATTATGATTTATAATTTATATTATAAAAAAAAAAATTAAATATAAGTAAATTTTTATTTTTATTTGAACAATGCTCCAAATTTATAAACAACAACAATATTTTGTATATACCTAATTTTTAACTGAAATTATTTTTTATTTAAACAATAAAATAAAAATTAATTTAAATTAAAACATTTTTTTTTAATTTATGATTATATACTAAAATCCAACAAGACAGAGAATTTATAAATTATTTATGTATCTAATTAACATTTTTAAATGTTGGTTATTATAAGTTATAATTTTTAAATGGATTGGTAATAATTAATTTTACTTTAAAAATTGTACATATTATCTAATGGTTACCTAAAATGGTTTTTACAAATTGAGATCACATTATATAAAAACCCAAAATTAATATCTTATTAAACCCTATGAAATAATAAGTGGTTCGCGATAAAATTATTACACTATATCCAATTTTAACAGGCAAATCAACATCATAAAAATATTTTTTCCGTTTTCATTAGGTGTCCAAAGAAAACTAATATTACATCTTGGCATATTATTTTTTTTCCTAAATAATTAGAAATATTCTTTTTGATAATACTTTATCTAGAACTTAGAAGTCCAATTAAATTGAAAATTAAAAAAATGTAATTGAAAAAAATCTTTTAAATCGCTTTCATGTAAAAATTAAAAACATAATTTTTTTTATAAATGATTTCCATAGATTTTTTAGAACTGAAAATTACGTTTACATAAAACAAAAATATACTTACTGATTTAAAAAATGCCATTGAGATTGGTAATTTAATATTAGTTATTAGTATTATAATAAAAACATCTTGATGCAGGAATAACAACAGACTGTTGTTTTTGTATTGGCCGGAACAGCTACTATAAAAGTATAACAGTTATCTAGTCCCGCGTTGCTGTAATGTCTTGTAAATATTGTTTAAACACTCTCTTTCTTTGTAGCACCCTCCTCTCCTTTTTCTAATGATTAAAACAAGATATTATTATTTAGGCTATTGTTCATATACTCTCGTTTACTTCATTATTACTGCGATACTATTATGAATAACTGTTATATGATGAGTATACAACGATGATAAACGCTATCGCCGTTGACCGATAAATTAACTGTCTTAGACTTATTAGGTAGAAAACATAATAGTGCAACGATAATAATTAAATTCATTATTACAAAAACAACAAATACCATTAACGATGTACATAGTTAAGGACATCTCGGTTTTCATTGGGTCAAATATACAAATACTTATTGTTTGATAAGGCGAAACGACTGTCGACTTCTGAGCTAAAATAATTAAAAAGCCAGTACAATGGAATCAGGACATAGTGGGGACGGAGCTACATGGCAACATAAATTATCACAAAAGACGTTTTTAAAAAAATGCTTCGATGAGAATGTGTGGATAGTATGGTTCAAGCCAATATAATCTAGACCAAACACAATACAACCAGTACAGTAAGTAAGTATTACACCAAAATGAGTAGGTAAAGGAGGTCTAGTGTTTACAGATAAAAATACAAATATCGATAAAAGCATTGTACCTAATTTTTACTATTAAACACTATTAGGGTTGATCGGCTGCCTATAAAATGTCAACTTTAATCGTATCCACCCTTAAACTAATTAATCACATAATTGTCATTAGGTACAATGCACAATGGGTGAAGAAAAAAAAAATTTGAATTTCTTATTAAACCCTATGAGATATTGAGTGATTCACGATAAGTGGATCACCCTGTCAATATAATAATAAAATAATACGTTTAAATAAGTCGTTTTTAAGAACGATATCGTTCTTAAAATATTTGAGTTGCCAAAAGTACAATTATTTGTGTAATATAAGATAACATGCGCAATAAAAAATATTCTAAAACAACAATAATAGTATGGAAAATAATTTTATATCTATTTTATACGAATTAGTCTAATATATTACCATCAGTAATTAATATTGAATACAATTATACAAGTATAATTGCAGTGTTGCGTAGTAGAAAAATTATATTATAAAATGCTAGATTATGATAGCTATCCTATGCAAAAATAAATAGTTATAATATTAATAATCAAATTATACATAAGCTTCGGCTTATTACAATAGGCATTATTAATGACAACAGTGTGGAGACTTTCATAAAAATGATGAAAAAGTAGACACTATTTGGGTATTTATCAAATTAGAGATTGAAATACGATCAATAAGTAAATACTCTTCCCCCCTTTTTTAGGAGGAGGGGGTGAGTTTCCTTAATAAAAAAAAAGTTTCACTACAATCTCTTGGGAAAAACTTAACGATCTTCAGTCTCATGTTAGATTTACCTGCAGTTTAATTTACAAATCACATGTCTTCGAAAAAATGAAATAAAGGAGAAGTTTACAATTTTCTCGATGAATTAGTTTAAAAGTAATTGGTCTATTTATAAAATACAAATTAAAGGGCACCATCATTTTAAATGGAAACATGTATAATGGTTTCAGTGGTTTTTCGGTTTTGAAGGGAAAGGGATGAACTCGATAAAAAAAAATTGGGTTTCCAGCTCCACATGAAAGCTAAAAAAAAACAAAAATCGCAATTAGTAAAATTACAACACAGGTAACAATATACAATTCCATAAGAACCTATTGTATATTTTGTAATCGAGCTTTTAGTATTTTTTAGGGTTTTCCTTATTAAGCCGTTGGCTATAATTGCCACAATCTAAGCTTATTTAACCTCTTAGAGTAATGTACAATTTATAAATGAGGTCCAGGGAAAATCACATTTTTCTCGACATCAAATTAAAATTACCTTTTTTGAAATTAAAAAATTTTTCTAAAATTGTATAATCGTTTTACACGCACGAAATTTAAATTAAATTGATTAAAAACGAATTAGTTTTGATCGAAAATTACTATGCATTTAGCTATAAATTCAATTTACAAATAATACATATTTATTATTCTGGAAAAAAAAAATTGTTTTAAATTTGTTTTAATATATATATATATGCGCTTATAATTAAGCACTAGAGTTTAAACAATGATAAAAAACGCCGAATCAAAATCGCATCTACTCAAAATACAATTTCTTTAGTAGTTTTAGAGCAATTTTTACATAACATTATCTTTGTTGTAATTTCCTAATCGTCTTGTCTAGTCTAGTGTATTTGAGCTACTCATTAAATGTAATGTTCTGGAAAGTTCCTTACGGATAGACATAATAAAACACACACAAACGGGCGTAGGTTAGGGAACATTTCTTATACATTACGGGGCATTGTATAGATAATTATTTCACTTTATGTAAATAGCTTTTTTTCTCCTTTATTTTACATACACGATCAATACAAATTTAGTACAATAAGTATATATGATCACACAAGTAAATTATATACATTGAAAGCATGAAAAGAGAAGCCGTACACTGACGGCACTCTTATTAACTTCGTTTTTAATTAATTGTTAGTGAGAAGGTCTCTGCGCCACTTCATTTTAAGTCTTTTTGTTGGGTTGTTGACCATTGAGGGTAATGTGAGATTATTTACAAGGGGGTTTAGGTGATTTTGAAGAGAATTGTGGCAACATCTGTAGTAGTCTTTGGCAACTTGTGTTATTGTTTTTATTTGTAAATCACAGTGTAGAGTATGGTTTGATATATAAGGTGGTGAATTAGTGATGAGACAGAGTATTTTATTTTGTGAGACTTGTATTTTGTTAAGGTTCGAATTCTTAGCTGATCCCCAGATTTGGAATCCATATGTCCATAGCGGCTTAAGTAAGAGTTTATAAATGGTTAGTTTTGTGTGAAGGGGCAACTTCGATTTAGAATGAAGAAATCTTCTCAGAATGTTAAGACGTAAGTTTAGTTTAATTTTAGTGGAGTGTATGTGATGTGCCCAGTTTAGTTTTTTATCAAAGTGTACCCCAAGGTATTTGATAGTATTTGATGAGGGTATTTGGACATTGTTTAGAGCAACGTGAGGGCAGATACCTTGTTTGAGAGTGAATGTAATATGGCAGGATTTAGTTTCATTAATTTTTATTTTCCAATCATTGTACCAGGTTTGAAGACTATTGAGGTGAGATTGCAAGTAATGAGAATCAATTTAGGGGTCATTATGAACAGAAAGGATTGCTTTATCGTCGGCAAATTCTGCTACAGCTGTGTTTAGATGGGTAGGTTGATCGGATGTAAACATTTTGTAGAGAAGAGGATCAGAAATAGCACCTTGATGTACCCCTGCTTTTATTTGAGATATGGTTGAAAGAGTTGTGCGGTAACGTACTGTAAATTGTCGTTCATCAAGATAAGATTGAAAGAGTAATTAGTAGTAGTATAGAGGTAGAATTTGTTTTAGTTTAAAAGAAGACCATCGTGCCATACTCAGTCAAAAGCTTGTGCAACGTTCAAAAAAACAGCAGTGCAATATTGTTTATTTTCAAGTGATGAGGCGACTGTATCTGTTAAACGATTTATTTGTTGGATTGTAGAATGTCTGCTACGAAAACCAAACTGCGTGTTTGGAATAATGTTTATCTTAGCTATGATCGGTTTAATTATTTTTAGGAGTATTTTTTCAAATACTTTAGAAAAGAAAGGCAGAAGACTGATAGGTCTATAGGATGAGGGGTGCTCCGGTGGCTTACCAGGTTTGAGTACAACTATTATTACAGAGAGTTTCCACTGCAGCGGAAAGTATGAGAGGCGAAGTATGGAATTAAATATATATGTGAGAACATTAACTGTTTTTTTGGGGGAGATGCTTAGCGATCTCGTATGTGATATAATAGTATATTACTAGAGATAGTAATAGAGATTATAACAGTTTTATAGTGAGAACGAGTTGTTTTCAACTAAAAACATGCAACTATAGAGACACCTTAAACCCATATTAACGCATCAAATAGGCATGGGTCATTCCATGCCAATTTATCTGATGTGCGTGCTAGTTGATTTTCTAAATACCTGAAACTTATATATCCTATGCAGATAGTTCCATAACATCGAAAAAAATAATATCAAAAATTGTTTTGGACTTTAGCGATGCGGCCACGTTACTTAATGACTAATTATGATATCGAAATGTAACTTTCACTGAACAATTGTAATTTAAGTGTTCTTTTTCAAAATATTCCTAAACAATATTTTTTTCAAATTTTAAAGTAGCTAACTAGCTCCAGTAATATTAATTTTAAAATGTATTTTTACTAGTGCCAGAAAAACTCAGATAAAAGGGCGCCGTCTTAAGCCTAGTCTTAAGGCAACATTCATTAGTCACCACATATTTCGCTTTTTATCGAAATATAGAAACAAATTGGAAGCAACACAGTAATAATTGTCTATATTGTCTTAGTGTGTCCCAGGCTTTAGATTACATGGCATGGAAAAAATTAATTTTGTATTTTTTTTTTTCAAATATTGACTGCGGAAAAAACAATGCTACACAAATTATAATAGGTTATTTTTGTAATTAAAAACAATTACATTTAAGTACTGAATCGATTAATAATTATATTACTTATTATTACATATTCCGTGAAGTGGAATTACATTCCACGTGTTTGAATATTATAAAATTAAAGTGCAATATTATAAACACTATAAATAATAAATAAATTTAAAGTATTTTAGGTATTATACTCAATTAACAAAATTTAAACATTCTTATATTTCAAATATTTATTTTTATGGTTCTTCAACTTTTTTCGCATGTATGTGGAACAATAAGAACTTCGCAACGTGTATTTCATTATCTAAAAAGCAAAAGTAACAAATGTTTAAGTGAGGCCCAACAGTCATAATTAACTTGTTAATGTACAAACTTGTGAAATTACAATTAAAATTGAATGTGGGAATTTGTGGATTTTTAGCGATAAATTCTCTCACAAACTTGCTTGCTTCGTTACCAAATAGTACACCGTCTCGGTTCCTGTCACGTTCTGTGAATTCATATAACAATGATCTGATCTCTTTTGTACTTAACACTATCTCATCCTGAAAATTGCCAAAGA